GCCTCAAAGGCCTCCCCAGCTGGTCCCATCCAAGGGCGAGAGGGTGCCTGGAGGGACCGGCTGGCTTCCACCCTTCAGAACCAGTCCCTGGAGAGGCAGATGCGGGAGCAGGAGGAGCGTCACGCCCGGGAGGTAGCGAGTTACCAGGAGGCCCTGGCCCGGCTGGAGGAGGAGGGGCAGACCCTCAAGGACGAGATGGCCCGGCACCTGCAGGAGTACCAGGACCTGCTCAACATCAAGCTGGCCCTGGACATGGAGATCGCCACCTACAGGAAGCTGCTGGAGGGCGAGGAGAACCGGTGAGCCTGTCCAGCCCCCTCCTAACCCAGTGCCCAGCACAGTGCTCCATAACACACAGTAGGCATTCAACAAATGTTTGATGAATGAGTGAATGGGTTCCACTCAACCGATGTTGATTAGGTCCCAGGGCAAGGACTAAACTAAAAGGCTCATCCCGCCACCCTCCCAACAATAATTGGACTTCTTTTCGCCTGGCCTATCTCTTGTGCCTCCTCAGAACTGTCTTTGCCCTCCCCTCTGCCATCCTCCAAGTCCCCATCTTCCATAACATCCGAGCCCCTTGCAGACTCTTGGAGCTCCATGGAGCACATTGGCTGCTGAGGAAAATTAGGAAATGCGCTCCTTGAGGCTGTCATGATGACCCTGAGTCAGGACCTGGCCTGGGATGGCCTGGTCACTACTCTCCCTCTGCTGTCTTTCAGCATCACCATTCCTGTGCAGACCTTCTCCAACCTGCAGATCCGAGGTCAGTAGAGCAGGGCCGAGTGGCCAGGGTATTGGGTTAATGGCCCTCCCCCAGGCCTGTGGGCTGCTGCTCTGGCCTGGAGCTGAGAACCTGGGTAAAAGGTTCCAAGGCGCTCCTTGGGGGCCTTCATGATTCACCGTGGAGTTTCTGGCCAGAACACACCATCCCAGGGCATCTTAGGTGGGGCTTGCAGCCACTCCTGTCCTGCTCTGCCCTGTGTCCCCCTTTCATCCCTGCACCCCATTCCCTACAGAATTGGGTGAGGGTCTCAACCTCTGTCCTGTCTGCAGATCCCTGAACACTTGCAGATCCTCTGCCCATCTGAGTGTTTTATGTTTTTGTTTTTTCAACTGCTTGTCACTACAGGGGGCAAAAGCACCAAAGAAGGGGAAGGTCACAAGGTCACAAGACATCTCAAAAGCCTCACAGTACAAGTTATACCAATTCAGGCTCACCAGATTGTAAACGGAGCCCCGCCGGCTCTCGGTTAGCTGCCCGCCTCTCAGACACGGTGCTTTTCCCCACTCGGCAGGGAGGGAGCCTCACCAAGTCCATGTTCCCCATCCTCCTGGGCTCCCTCCTCCCAGGTTTCCCTAAAGGGCCAGCCTGTGCCATCTTCCCAGCAACCTCAGTGCCCAGCTCAGGACCTGGCACAGGGTAAATGTAGGTGAAACTAGCAGACCGGCTGGTGTTCGGGGTGATATGTCCTCAGGTGCTCAGAGGAGATGCTCTGGGGCCTTTGAGCAAATGCCAGCCTCCTCCTCACTCCTTCCCCATCTGAGAGGGCCCCTAGGGCCTCTGTACCCAGTGGCAAGCTCTCTGCTTGAGTCATCGGTCCCCGAGGCTCTGTTGCTCAGCACGATGCTGATTCAGCCCCGAGGATTATTTCCCCCTGGACTGCTGCTCTTGTAGTGAATAAAGTTTTACACTCCCTGCTCTTAATTTTAAATATTAGTGAGTGTTATATTTTTCTCTCCAAGGGGAAAAGCTAAATTACTTCTTACTTGTATGTGGGCCTCAGCTACGGGGGGAAAGGTCTTCTTCTTCTGGGCTAGACATTTAGGAAGTAGATATGTGTGTCCTAGGACTTAGTTCAGCATCAGAAAAGATAACTGGGAGGGGGGGGAGGGGTGCCAGCTAGAGGTAATACTGCCAAGTCCCAGACAGTAAAGGGCCATTAGGGCCCAGAGAAGTGGCAGAGAGAAGTAGGAGAGGGGAGGAGGGACAGGAAAGGGACCCACATGTACTGAGCCAATCGCTTCACATACATGATTTCAGTTGACTGACTCCTCACTCCCACCTAGAGAAGTAGGCACCATGTCCCCATTTTACAGATGAGGAAACTGGGGCTGGAGAGGTAAAGTAACTTGCCCACAGTCGTGAGGCTGGTTAGTGGCTGAGCTGGGACTCCAGCTCTGGCCCGCCTGGTTTCAAAGCCCACGTGCTCCTTCCTCGACACAGGGTTGTGTTGTCAGAAAGCCGGGTCCCGGGCAAGGGCTCACAGAGGGACTAAACGCAGCCAGGCCAGGAGAGCCAGAGGGCAGTGGACAGAGCAGCCAGGACTTGCCCAACACAGCGGGGACTGGGGGGTCGCCAGCCCCTGTGGAAGAGCTGAGGCCCTCCCTGCCCGGTTGGATAGGCCTCTGTACTCATGCTCTGGGTGTGACAGGGAGCCGGGGTGGCAGAGGATGTCTAGCGCCCCGAGAGCCCACAGGAGGCCTCCTCTGCTCACATCCACAGAAACCAGCCTGGACACCAAGTCCGTGTCAGAAGGCCATCTCAAGAGAAACATCGTGGTGAAGACTGTGGAGATGCGGGATGGAGAGGTGAGGACAGCAGCCCTGAGATTCTGGCCCCGTCAGCTCTGGCTGCCCCAGGAACTCTTGAGGCCAGGCTCTGGAATGAAGCCCGAACTGGCACATGGAAGGGTCTTGATAACTCACAGGGCTCTCCAGGGAGGCTCTGGAAGAAGGGAAGGAACCTGGATGTGATTAGATTCCCCACCCCCTCCGCCGGCAGTTCTAAGGGGAGCCTGGGTGCCTAGGCCACGGGATGGTTCCTGACGTGGGCTTTCTCCCTTCCTCACCCTAACTCAGGTACCCCCAGCGCCAGGCCTGGGGGAGAGGGAAAGAAAATTAAAGACGTTAGCAGTTTTCACTACCGACTTTCCATTTCCAGCTTGGTTAAAGGAACCTTCCAGAGGAATGGGAAAAGGGGATTTGGCATAACCCACTCCCCATCCCACCAGCAATGGTTCTAGCTCAGTGGTTCTCAACCTTGGCTGCACATTAGAATCACCTGGGAATCTTTTTAAAATCCTGATTTCTGGGCCTCATCCTCCGGAAATTCTGTTTCTTTGTTATGGGGTGGGGCCACAACATTAGTAACAAAGAAACAGAATTTCCGGAGGATGAGGCCCAGAAATCAGGATTTTAAAAAGATTCCCAGGTGATTCTAATGTGCAGCCAAGGTTGAGAACCACTGTTCTAGCTAATTTCACACCATCAGCTCACCATGTGCCTGGCCTGGTGCTAAATGATTTACAGGTGTGACCTCATCCCCCCTCCGACTGCTGCGAGAGGGAGTTCTGGTTACCATCATAGAAAGGAAAGACCCAGGAAGTCTGGGGACTCGCCCACGGTCACATAGCCTGGCAGTGGTGGGCCCAGGGTCGGTGTGAGCTCCTGACTGTGGCACGGTGCACCTTCTCTGTCCCCTGCAGGTCATTAAGGAGTCCAAGCAGGAGCACAAGGACGTGATGTGAGGCGGGAACCACCTGGAGGCCCCTGTCCCCTAACGGGAGGGGCCTGCAGCAGTAAACAGGATAGTTGCCCCTCCTCTGACCGCTCATTTCCCCAGACCTGAGTTCCCACCACCCTATTGCAGCTGCTCCCCACGACGTCTCTGTGCCAGCTTTTGTCCTAGGCTCCATCAGCAGTAGGCCCACCAGACAGCACCCACCCCACTCCCAGCAACTCCATCTAAAAGGGCACTCACCCCAAAGGGGCAGCCTGGAGGGGCATGGCCAGAAGCTTGGGTTAGAATTGGGAGGGAAGAGAGAAGTTGGGGAGGGCCTAGAGACCTAATAAATCACTCTCCATAGCCTAATCCTTGTTGTCATGGCAACCGTTGTCAGAGCTGGCGGTCTCTGGGCTATCGGGGAAGTGGGCCTTGGAGTTCCTCCGGCTGCTGGAGGAAAACCGAGACACTGAGACAGGAAGGAGAAGTTCCCACAGGCAAGGTAGCCCTGGCCAGCGGCTCATTCTTAACCTAGACAGAGCCTGGCCAGTCTGATAGTAGATGGGGGTATCCTACCACCTGGCGTCCCCAGCAGACAGAACTCCTGGCCTGCCCAGAGGGAATGATGATTCAATGTTGATTCAAGTGTCTCAGCCTCACTGAGCTGCCATGTGGGCAGTGGGAGCTTGATTCTCAGCACTAGGGGATCTTAGTATACGTAGAGAGGGCAGTGGTGCTGGGAAGGAGTAGCGGGGGCTGCTCGGCCCCTAGGTGTCAGTTCATGGAGGTCAAGCCCAGGAGAACTTCCCCCATATAGGCTGGGGGAGGGAGGCAGGTAGAGGTGGAGGAGGGAGGAGGAGGATGCTAGGCATCAGAGTTGGGGTTGTGGATGACCAGCTATACTTGGCCTCTGGGTCGTGGGAATCAAGGAAGTGATGCATCCTCTTGAAGATACTGAAATAAGAGAAAAAGGGGCTGCCGTCCACAGGGGCAGGGCACACTTTGTTCAGGTCTAAAGGCCCCTTCCTTGCTGCATAATCCCTGTCCACCCAAAGCCTCTGAGCCCCTGCAGCTGCTGCCTCCCAACCCAGCAAATACTGCTGGGTAAAGCCAACGCCATCCATCTGCCTGTCTGCACCCCATAGTGACCTGATGCTTTTCCCTAAACTAAGGGCCCTGTGGTCCCCTCTTACTCAAATGCAAGCTGTACCAGTATCCTAGGTAGCACTCTATTTTATAATTCAGGAAATGGAGGCACGAGCAGAGTGAAGACCCTGGATTGGGTCCCTACGGCCTGGAGAGGGAGCACACACTTCCACCCGGAGCATCTACTCTGCTTTCCGCAGGAGGATTGTGGGGAGCGTGGGATTATCTGTGCCCAGAAATGGGACTGAGGGGACCCACTCCAGGGGCCCCCTCTTCCCTCTAAGGCAGTGGTTCTCAACCTGTGGGTCGCGACCCCTTTGGCGGTTGAACGACCCTTTCACAGGGGTCGCCTAAGACCATCCTGCATATCAGATATTTACATTACGATTCATAACAGTAGCAACATTACAGTTATGAAGTAGCAACGAAAATAATTTTCTGGTTGGGGGTCACAACGTGAGAAACTGTATTTAAAGGGCCAGAAGGTTGAGAACCACTGCTAAGACTAATGGGAGGGAGAGATGGGAATCTCTTTCCAAGACTTGGTGCCCTTTCTCTGACTCCCTCCTGCCACCCACTGATGCCTTTAGTCACTGAGGTAAATAAAGCCAACTGCTGTGGCCTCCCTCCGAGTGGACTCTGATCTGTTCAGGAGAAGCTGGGGCCGGGGGAAGGGAGCAGCAAGTGACCTTGCACAAGACCCAGCGTGCTTCTTGTCACTGATCATCTCCAGAGCTCAACACCCCCCGTAGCAGCAGCCACATGACAAATCCCACCTCCAACCCTGCTCTGCCAGAGCAGTCCTGGTGCCCCCCATAGTCCCCCCTTTGCTCCCAGCTCCTCTTCTCACCCCCAGTCTCCAGCATGGGTGCAGTCTCTCAGGAAAGCCCTGAATTTGACCTCCATTTTCCTCACCCATTTCCCCTGTCCTAGTCTTTACCTTTATTCCCAAACCTGCCATTTCTACCAGCCAGTCCCAGGACAAGGCTGGGAGGAAGGCAGAGAGGACATATACGTGGCTCCCCACTCTTTTCTTCCTTCCTCTCCATGATACCCCCAATTTAACCAGCACCCACTTGGCAGTCCTCAAAGGCAAGAAAAGAAAGCACCTCAAACACTGCTCAATACTGAAGAGGCCATTTAATAAATACGAGGTTCCCTTCCTCCTCTTCTGACCTGATGAAGTCGGAAGACATGTGCACCTTGGCTACTTGCATCATTGCCTCCGTCCCATGTCCCACCTGCCTCAGGCTTCTCCACCTCCCAGATCAGGCCCCAGACGTGCCCATGAAAACGGGGAGCAGGATGTCACTCACAAACTTGTTCGCACTCCCTTGCCACACGTCCCAGCCCAGGATGCCCACCCAGAAGCACCTGGAATCATTTAACAAACACGTTGGAGCACAGCTGGTCTTCGGAGAGGGTGGAGAGAGAACCTAGCGAGAGAAGCTGGGATAACAGCGAAACACGTAACAGCAGCAGCGACAAAGGTGGATGGTGACGAAGACTGCGGTGAGGAGCAGGTACCCTATCAGGGTGAGTTCCAAGGCGGAGCGGACCTCGGGGTCCGAGAGTGAGACCTTGTAGCGCCCCTGAGACGCCACGCCCAGTCGGAACCCAGCGACCCGCTCGCCCTGCCGCCAGCAATAGTAGATGCCCCTGTCGTCCAGCTGAGTGAAGCGGATGTGGAGATGGTTGCCATGGTCGATGAAGACCCTCATGGACCTATTGGTGCCCTTCAAGTACTGCGTGCGGTAGAAGTGCTGGCGGTCCTTGTCCCAGGCCACAGCGTGCTCTGGCCGGGCCCCGGGACAGGAGATGATGAGCCCATGACTCAGCCTCTGCTGGTGGTACTGGATGGGCACCTGGGGCAGCCAGGGCCGTCTGCCCACTTTGGACACATAGTTTAAAATGGCCATCAGCCTCCCCCGGATCTTCGTTGTATTCTTGCAGGGCACCAGGCAGCTCTGGACCAGCAGCTCGGGCGTGTGGTCCCTGACCTTGGCCTGAAGCTTCCTGGGCACAGCCCGTGAACCACAGGACACCACGTCCGGCATTGTCTTGCGGTAGCGTGGGGAGAGGTCTGGACTCTGCAGATAGCAGAGGCCAATGCGCCACTGCTCCCCGCGGACCCCGCAGCGGTCACAGGGGGTCCACTCCCAGAAGGTGGTGAAGACGTGGAGGCTCCCACGGTAGTCGTCTGCAAAGGGCTCCTGGCCCAGGTCCTTGAAGGTGGCCACCATTCCCTCGCTGCTCTGGATGTCCACATCATAGGCATAGAAGTAGTCCCCCTTGCGGGTGCCACAGAAATACAAGCCCGAGTCCTCAGGCTGGGCCCGGAAGACCAACAGGCTGAACATGCGGATGCTGAAGCGGACCAGCAGGTCACTGCCCACCCGTACCTGGGATGCCGCCGTCAGCATCTGCCCATCGAAGTCCGTCAGCACTTTGGTGTGGCTGCTACCAAGGTGCTCCTGATAGTACCAGACCACAGCAGACACCTCCTCGGGCTTACAGTGGCAGGGCAGCTCGAAGCTCATGTCGGCCAGGTAGGCTGCATTATCAAACATCAGGAAAGCAGGGCAGGGGGTCCTCTGAAAAATGTTCTCCTTCTCCACGATTTCAAAGGCCCGGAGACTCCCCCATGCCCACAGGAGCACAATGATGTGGGGTAGGTTCATGCCTGAAGGAGGGGAGGGTCGGAGCGGGGAAAACCAAGGCACCAAAGGCCTATGAGGCTGCTAGAATTCACTGCTGGAGGAAAGGCTGAAGCAGCCAAGAAAAGAAGCAACAATCTGCAGGGGAAGCAGCCAAAGACAAGGCAATTTATTCCCAGCCGGTGTACACGAGGCCCTTCTCATGTGACCAGATGCCCTTCCAATGTGACCTCGAGGAAGAACCATTCTAGAACCTGGCCCTCTCTCCCCTTTCTAGAACACTGGCACTCACCCAAGAATGGGTCAGGAGAAACTGGAATGAGAAGCAAGGCTGGGAGCCAGACAGGGAAATCTCGGCCTCCCTGCTCTAGGCCTTGCCCTGGTGACTGGTGGAAAGGTCTTCCCTCTGGTTAATCCAGGAGTTGAAAGAAACCCACTGCCTTCACATCTGGCCATCTGAAGAAGCCTGGGAGGTTGGCCAGACCTAAACTGATGGCTTGGGGCTTTCCCAGAACCAACCCTGCACAGGACCTCAGCCCCTGGGGAAAAATACATCTCAAATGAGGTAGCATTTGACCATTTGCTGATTAAATGTCCATTCATTGGTTTTACGTTATGAATATTCTTGTTAAAAGCTATGGAGATGAGTATTGGTTTATTACAGAAGATTAATGATTTCCCTTCTTCCCTTTTTTTGGGTAGGGGCCTTACGAGTGTAGCCAGCATTTGGTGGGCTGTGGGCCACAGCCGTGACAGACTCTGAGGGTGGGAAGCAAAGCTCTTTTAACTTTCTGGGCCCTTGACCATCCTGTGGATCTACACAGTTCAGAATATCAGGCCACAGAGGGGCTGGAGAAGAGGGGAAGATTAGATGCTACCTTTTGCTCTGAAGATCTCAAGTTGAGAAGGGAAGTCGGTATGGGCTTCTTATTACAATTCTTCGGAGCCCCCAAGGTAACCAAAACATGCTGCCAGTGACCACTGGGGGCCTCGGAAGATAACTGGCCCCATCAATCCACTTGGTACAACTCTAGCAGTTCTTGTAGGAGACTCTCCTCCTCCTGGAGCCCACCAGGCTGCTCCTCCAGACCCTGCTCCTCCTGGCTGAGCCCCTCCTTCATGGGTCTAGGGGTGCCCATGGCCTGCAGCTTCTGAAACAAGCTTCTGCAGCTCTCTCTCTCTGCGTGGCTCATCAGGCTCAGGTTCAGGGCAAAGCGCCCGGTACTGGCCAGGCCGCGCAAGATCCCCAGCACCACCAGCCGGTCAGCCGGCCTCACATGCTCAGCCAGTGCCATCAGCAGCTCCCCCAGAAGTCCGAACCCCACGTCCGTCTGGAAGAGGTGGCCCAGCTTGGGACCTCCGAGCTGCAGCAGGGCCTGGTAGCGCTCTGGCCCGCTCCGCAAGTATCGCCGCCAATCACGGTAGAACTCCGCTGAGGTCTCGGGCTGCAGGAGTGTTTTCTCCTGGATGGCAAAAGAAGAAAAGGGAACCCAGAGCTTTTCCAGCTGCTCTATGACAGTGAGAGTGAGGGAAGCCTATGGGTTCTCAGCTGAACTCTGCTACTGCTCTCTCAGCACTGGAAAGCCTGTGGTCCATGGCGGCCACCTTTTCAGATGAGGGAGGGTCTCAAAGAACCCAGGCCTGGTTTGAGATTCTCAGTTGTACCAGGATATTCCTACTTAGGAATGTGAGAGTAAGGGTTTTTACTCTGAGCAGAGCAGAGGGGACGACTGAAAACCTCAGGAAGAGAGAAAGAACTCAAGGGGGGGTGTTAAGGATCTGTCAGGCTAGGTCTCCCTCCCAACACTGCCATAGCTCTGTAAAGAATCAATAAAATATATTTAAAAAAAAAAACCCTCAGGAAGAGAGAAAGAACTCAAGAGGAGGGGGGTGTTAAGGATCTGTCAGGCTAGGTCTCCCTCCCAACACTGCCATAGGATTGTTATACTAAACACCATATAACCCAGAGCAACCCCAACCTGACCTGTGAATGCAAGTTAAAGGACAGAGACCTGCCTAGCTCAACTTTCTGATTTGTTCTGCCCAATTTAACTCCCCTCACCATCCTATGGTTGTTCTTTCTGGGATCAGAGGCAGAAAACTGCCTCTGTTGGCTTAACAGGAGAAACAAGGAAAAGGTATGTGTTGTAAGAAGACAGGACTGGAGCTTTACGGCAGAGAAGCCTGCTGGGCCTCACCTACCTGGGAGATTTCAGTGGTTTCGTCCGGAGAGGTCCTTCTTGGAGTAGTGTGACAGTTCCAGGGCACAGTCCTCGTTCCTCCTATCTTGTCCTTCCGCTCCAGTGGCTTGAGATGCGATGCAAGGACAATACCCCTGCAGGCAAAGGACAGAGATTAAGGGATAGACCTGATGATGTCTGTGGGTGTGAGGGGGCTGGACTTTGCATGATAGAGGCTGAACCTGTTGGCAGGTCAATCTGACAACAATAACAATAACAACAGCAGCAACAATAGCTGACAGCTTTTAGGTACTTCCCATGTCCCAGACATTCTGCTCAAAAATCTTACAGATAATAACTCGTTTGATCATAGTAATGGTTATTCTCTCTTACGGATGAGGAATAGAGGCTCACAGAGGTTAAATAACTTGCATAAGAGGACACAGGTAGCAGAGGACAGGACCAGGACTAAGCCCAGAATTGTCTGACTCCAAAGCACGTGCTCTTATCCACTACAGTCCACCATACCAGGGGGACCTGAGAAAAATGACATTGAGCCAACCTGAACTCCTCATAGGAAGCCACCCTCTGCTCCACGGCCCGAAACTTGGCAGCATTCTCCCTCTGGTACTTCTCATCAGCAGTAATGGCAGCCTGCAACTCTTTCTCCAAAGCCTTGAAGTCAATGATGTCATTCCTTTCCATGGCCTGTGGCTGGGAAGGAAAAGAGAATGGACATCATTGGAAGGTCAATAACAGGGGAAGGAAAGCGGATTCTTTGCTGGCCCACAAAATGACCCAAAAGCACTCCGGATATCTTGTCACTTATATTGGGGGTTTACAAAATCTAATTCTCTACTTTATAGAGTTACACAGTGAGGACAATTCTTTGCTGGCCCACAAAATGACCCAAAAGCACTCCAGATATCTTGTCACTTATATTGGGGGTTTACAAAAATCTAGTTCTCTATAGAGTTACACAGTGAGGACGTGCTTAAGATTTGTTGTCACTGAAAAGAGAATGACTTTCAGAGTGGAGCCGTATCTTAATTTCGTTTTCTGCCTCTAAGAATTGGCACTTTCAGTGAGGAAGCGTATGGATCTCAGAATTCAGTCCCTTCACTCTTCCACATAGCGAGTTGCTGTGATTGAGGAGAACCTCACACAAAAGCAGAACTATGGTTAGCTACTCTTGAGCCCAGGGATAAAAGTTCATCCATCATTAAATGTCTTTAATGAGAAAGAATACTTTTTACCCAAACCAAATGCAATGACTGAGCAGGAAATCAAGTAGAAGGGGCTTAAATGATCCCTGTCCCAAATTCCTCGGTCCAGTCCAGGGCTGGAGGACTAGGTACTGGGGAGACCTCTTTAGTTCTGCCACTGTACTTCTGTAGCCTCCGCGTAGGAGGCCGATTGGCCTGTTCTAAGGGAGATCACCTATATGGGTTCTAGTTTTGGCTCTTGCTTTACCTTGTTGTGAGACCTCTTTGAGCCTCAGATTCCTGGTGCATTGAGCAAGATGTTATGACTGAGTCATCATCAACAGCCCTAGGGCAGGGTGGCGGAATGTCTGCAACCAAGCCTAGAGCCCTCCCTCTCCACCCCAACCAAGAAGGGGGCTGGGCTGGCCAGGAATTGAACTCAGATGTTCTGGCTCCTGTCCAGTTCTGAGTCCTACCCGGTCGTTGAATAAATAGAACTAACCCTCCTGCCCTCCTGACTGTCACCCCAGGAGCCCTGGCCTTGGTTCCCTTGCTTTCTCTGGGGACGCTCAGATACTCCGGAACAGAACAGCTCAGTGCAGACCCGGCACAGCCGCGGTGGTTGCCTAGCAACTGCTCCCACAGCCTGCCCACGTGATCGACTCGAAGGCCCCCCTTTCAGTGTGGTCCCGAGGCGCCTGATCAGATTCAGGCCCCTTCAGGCCCCACTCTGTTTGGAGTAGCCCACGCCTCAGTTTGGGGGCCTACAGCTCCAGCTCTCCCGTTCCTGTGTCCGCGGACGCCATTCCTCCGAGCTACTGCTCAGGCAGAGGGCTGTCCGCGGCGGAAACGCGACCGCGGCG